GTCACGAAGAGTCGGACACGACTTAACGACTAAACAACAACAATTTTTCCTACACAGGTTAGAATTTAATCACACACTAGCTATGATAATGAATGACAACAGTAATTCAAAAACTAATTTGTGGCATACACTAGAATATGTGAATTGTTTAAAACTTGAAGTTTAAATTCTAGAGGGCTCAGAACCATATCAGTTTAATATTCGATTTATATTTAACTATAGTTATTGTTAAACTATATGAGTTAAACATAATAATAATGCAGTGGATCAGTGTGGAAGCGAGAACATTAGGATGGCCCTTGCATGTACACCAACATATCCTCCCCACATTTAATTTCTACAAAATGCCTGCATAAGGATGGCATATATTAATAATTCTGGCTTGCTCCTCATGTTTATACCACAACAAAGCTAGTTTTAGGAAATACTAAACAGACTGCCCTGTTTTTTTTTAAACCGAGACTCAGCAGGTAACAGTGTACTCCCTTACATTTTTAAAACCCATCCAGAACCAAACAACGATTACTGCCCTGGAATAATGACCACCTACAATTAATACAATGCCACACTAAAGATCTCAAATGTCTTTGTCTCTATTACAATGGATTAGCTACAAAATGTGAAGACTATTCTCCATATATATTAATCTTGCCACAAGAACCAATGTATCATTGTTTCACATGCTGTATTTATATTATTCAAGGCACTACATTCATTTCCATAGTAACACAGAGACAGGGCCCCAAATCTACAATTATATTGTCATTGTGTGGTGCCGCAAAAGAAGCAGATGAACACTTAATGAGGAAGCTTTTATATAAACACACAAATAAAAATTACTATTCTAACTCATCATTTCCTCCTTCACATTCCAGAGAATACAATTATAAACTTGGCAACTTGTGGATCAAATCCATGGTAAAAACTGGTATGTTGAGTAGAAGCATAGTGATGTCACATTATAAAGGTATGGAATGTTACCCCATTAGCAAGATATTTTTCTAATCATAGGAATACAAATAGGCACACACATATAAAATTAGCTGAAGCTTGGCTAATTATGATAAAATTAATGAAATTGATATTGGTGGAGAAGTTACTCTCAGATGTCTATAAACTACAGCCATTTGCAATATATTTAATTATCACATGCAGAAAAGAATCCTGGATCAGAATTCCAACAAAAATGTTGCCAGAGCAGCAGCATGCTTCACTTATGATATTAATTACAGAAACAGCTTAGAATACTGAGAACATCCAATCTGTGGACAAATTATAGATGAAACAGGGAAAATCCCTCCAAACCTAGTTTCTAATAAAGCTGACTACTATATAAACAAGATTTATCATGTAAGTGAAATAAAAAAAAATATTGCAATATAAGTTGAATGAAAATGCTAGCACAGGTTTCATAGAATCTTTCAAGTGAGGAAAATTTTCTATTTCAAATTATGGGGTGAGGAAGGGAAACCAAAATGAACTTCAATCATAGCTATACAATGTGTGGGGCTATCTTCATGTAATAAAATATTTTTTAAAAAATCAGTCCAAATGCAGGTTGGTAGATAGATGTTTTTCAGCTTCTCCCTCTAAGGCTGATAAGAGTGACTGGCTTTCCCCACTCCTACCCCAGCACCTTACCTTAGGCCCAGTAACGCATTTGTTCTCATGTATCTGCTCAGTCACACTTGACTTTCAGAGACTTTATAGATTAGCTTTCTCAATTTTTATGATGTTTAGAATGTTTCTAGGTTTAAACTAGTATTTGCTTGATGCTACCTATCCATATACGTAGATTCTTCGTTGGTACGTATATATACCTACATGCGTACCCCTCCCAGCATATAATTATCAACTTGATAATATAAACTTAGGAAGCATTATCCAGACTTCCTTCTTACCTAGATGTATATTCATCATTTTTGCACAGTATTTGCACATGGCCTCTAACTCATTCAATTGTCCTTGAAGAAATGAAATCTGGGTCTCTAATTCTTCTTCCTATAATAAAAACGTAAAAAACCTTGTCTAATTAAAAACATTGAGGAAAAATAGCACAAACATTTATTTATGTTTTACATTTCTGTTGCATCCATTCTCAAAGAGCACCTGTCCCATTTTAACCTTATAGCTATTCCATATTCATAATCCCAACTTTGCAGAAACTATCATCTAAGATACTGCAAAGACAAACATAAAATTGAAGACAGGGATATTTCTGGCTTCTGCTATTGTCCAAAGATCGAAGGAGATGATTAACAGAGAGAACATATAGAACAGAGAACCTCAGACTGATGCCATTGATTGATCAGTGAAAAGTAGCCTATTTATTTATTTATTGTTATTTATCAGTTCCTTTCAGAATCAGCTTATTTAAAAAGCATATAACGCTTGCAAATAATTACAATTCAAACTGCTTTAGTTTGTGTTACATAACTAACTTAAGTCAAGCTGTCCAACAACATTAATTTAGTTTTCTCATTAGCAAAGCCTTATTTGTGTGCAATGTACACATTTCTTCTACCGTGACTTAAACCATCAATAATAATGTTTCTGTGTAATTTTAACAAACAACATAAACAGGCCCTGCTTCCTAGAACTTCTTATATGTATTTCTATACTCAAAGCATTTCTGTAGAGAAACAATATTCTCTCTCTGTGTTTGTGTATGATGCTTTATATAATTTCTTTTATTATCCTAAGACAATTTTCATATGTTTTGATTGGTGGTAGGACTGCAGAGTTTATTAGCTTGTTAGAATCTGAGAGAATTTTTCTCTTTTCTCAAATAAATATAGACTTACATTTAAAAATCAACAGCAGAAATGCAATAGCAAAGTGAGATAAAACAACATGTTCTCTTTTCTTGTATATTTGAAATACTGTATGTGATATGCTGCTATAGCTTTCCCTTAACAGCAACAAAGGTGTGTTATAGCTGATAATGACATGCCATTTTCTCTTATATAACATCTCTCAAGATTTCTGAAATAATTCTTTGGATTTGATCAAGAGCACATTGGTCATCTTCGGGTTCCCCTGAAATCTATGTTTCAATCATAACTTATATCCTATTGATTTAAATGAGATCTAAATCCAAGGGACTTCAAAACAGATGCTTTGGGTTTTAGCAGAGTTCATATATTCATCTTGCATACTGTTGTAATCTCTGCTAGGACTCCCAGCAGTTAACAATGAAATGTATAATATAAAACATCCCTGATAAGGAAAAAATAAAACACTCATGGTAAACCTAAGTAAAAACAAATAATTGAAAGAAGTAGCAATATCATTATAACAGAAGAACCTAAAAATCCACCAACAATATACAATCCCAGATATTGTCCACTTAGACTACAAATGCTTTTCTCATGAGCTTTGTCTTTAGCATCTTCTGAAAAGAGATCACAGAGGGGCAAGTCTGACCTCAATTGGAAGGCTGTTCCAAAATGCAAGCACTTGAAAACCTGCACCTCCAAGTTTCAAAGCCCTCGTCCCTCTTTTAAGTGGGGTACTATCAGTAGTTTTTGCTGGGACAACCAATTTGACAGCATGATTCTGTATGGAGAATATCTAGGTACCAAGCCATACTGTATAGATCAAAACCTAGCACTCTAAATTGCACCCAAAAGCCTACTGGAAGGCAACGCAGGATCTGCAGGATAGGTTTAATATTCTCCGGGTGACAAGTACCAATTAACAACTGCAGCTTCTGAGTGGACTTCAAAGAAAGCCCCATGTAGAGCACATTGCAGTATTCCAACAGTGGTGATGAAATCATGAGTTACTGGGGCAAGGTGCTCCTGCTCCAGGTATAGCTGCAACTCATGTGCTAGCTGCATTTGGTCACAGTGTACTTCTGCCCAATCAACAATAGCTGTGCTTGCATGTTAACAAACTATACTCGATACAACAGAATCTCCATGCACAAAAGCAGCTCTGTCTGGCTTGGGTTCAACCTATTTCATTCTATCCAGACCATTATAGTCCTCAGGCACTGGGGCAAGGCATGAAGAACATTTCTAGCATGGCACAGGATGTTGTGATGGAATGTAAATCTGCCTTTGTTTGGTATAAGATGTAGTAGAGAGAAACTCTGCCAAATTTTCAAGATTCCGTTCTTATACCTTAAAACAATAAAGAGCATCCCTGAAATCTCTGCATTCCTGATCTTGGGCTGACAGACTGTAATGTAAAGTACAAATTAGGGTATGATCAATGTATTATTGCACCACACCCTGACACACACACATCCCCCCAATCTAGTCTCCTTGTTTGACCATAACATAGTAATATAATATAATAATCAGACTGAAAATAATAATAATAATAATAATAATAATAATAATAGTAACAATAATAAAACAATAGGTTATCATGTGGTTGAAATTCTATTAAAACTACAAAATAAAGTTTACCTTGATCACATATAAAACCCTCAGGCCCCTATATAAGATTACACATTTCCCAAGGTTATTTAAACATAATTAACCAAACGCTAATTATACAAATGTTTCAACAAGAATGTGCATAATATTAATCTACCCAACCACAAAATCTATAACTAATAGTTTACTTAGATATGCAGCCATAAAATGCTAGTTAAAACTGTGTCTATTGCTATTTAATTGTAGACTGTTTCACTCTGTCTTCAGATTATAACAGCTAGGGTGCATCTGTTTAACAATTATTTTCTGCTTTCAGATACTGCCAGCAGGAAGGTGAAGGCTCTCCTAGGAACCTTTGAAGCTATATTAAAAAGCATAAAGTCTTCTGCAAGTCTGATCAGCGTGCCTGTAATGGAGTAAAATCCACAAAATATTTGTCCCTTATATCTTGGGATAAAGGGTAATAAATTAAATAGTGAGATCTTCTATACTGCCTGACACACAAATACGCATTCTTTACGCATATGGAACTCCTGTCATTCTACCTTCCAAAACTACCATTAGCGTTATTATTCAGGACAGAAAAATTCTAGTTCAGCATATGCAAGCTGTAATCTAGAAACTCTTCCACATCTAGCTGCTATCCTGCATAAGGCTGCAAATTTTGAAAACCACTAGCCAGGTAGTTAATTATTTATTTAACGTTTTAGACAAATAATATTTTTTTTCTACCAAAATAATTTGGGTCACTTTTGATTTGTGGCATTTACTGAATCAAGAAAATTTACAGCCACCACACAGTTTATTCCTATAATGATAATTATTACTTTATTCTTTGTATTTTATGGATCAGGCAAGCCATGCATTTGCACTTTATAGAAACAAACAGATGGACCAGATTGCAATTTGTGGTTATATTTGTAGGCATGATTCAGTGGCATTACATTAACTGTAGATTTCTTGCCTATTAATAGGTTTGAATTTACTAAAGTATCCTACATATCTATAATATCTTTCTAATGACCTCATAGTATTCCTTGGGTAAAAATAGGAGTAGATGGTGCCATAGTCTATAAAAGATGTTAGAGAATGTTTCAATCAATTTTATTCTCATTTATTTCATGAGTGAAAGATAAAATTAAAAGATGAAGGGCCAGATATAGTAATGAGAGCAGCTGAGATTCACTGGTACTACACAGAGGGGGATCATATTTTGGATCCAAAGTAAATAAAGATAATAACTATTAAATCCAATCTGAAAGGACTGAACCCAAATAAAACAAAACAAAACAAACAAAAAACAAACAACTCTGAAAAGCTAGTACACCACAGAACTTTCAGAGGAAAAGAACTAAAGAGCTAACTTATTGTAAGTATGGCAAAAATGTGGCACATGAAGACTGATCAATATATCAGGGGACTACTTACCAAAAGAAAACCAGAAACACAAAATGAAACATCCCAAAAACGTAAAGTTAAAAAAGAAATGCACTAATGTAGATTTTTAATAACTAAATGTGGTAAGGGAAAGGATAACCTAAGAGACCCTGTGACTGATGGTAATGAAAAACGTTTCAGAATGATAGATTCAGGTTCCTTCTTGTCTGTTGTAAATTCAGAACTGGTGGATAAAAAAGTCATTTCCCTACTTGATATGTAATGGTAAAAAGGTTAGGAAATAAATACTTTTTTAATTACCAGAAGTCAGAGTATAAATGGAATGAAGAAAAAAGGCTATTTGAGACAGACCATCAGTTCATATCATTTATTACAGGGAGTGACATCATGGGTCTTGATTGTCTGTATTCTTACAGTAGACAAAGGCAACAACAAATAGATTTGGGAAATTACCTGTATCTTTGATGTTCACCCAGATGCAAGGGCTGTACCTGAGAAAAAGATAGGTTATGAAGAGGAAGCAATTGGACAAGATAAGCCAGTGGTAGCAGAAGATGATTTATTAACAGTGATGTTAACAGAGCAGTTCATATGGCACTTGGAGGTGCAAAGCTAATGCCAGAAGAAGCTGCAGAAGCAAATGGAGGAAGACACTGTAGAAAAATAAGCGTCTAAAAGAAACTAGAAAGGAAAGACTGAAAGGGATAAGATGGAAATGGAAGCAGAAAGGTTTAAAGTTTGGCTACTGAAAAACATGTGACACCACAGTAAAAAACCCAATAGCAAAAGCATCAGTAAAAGCTTCAGATGAGGCAGTAGAGGGAACTCATTTTGTGAGTGCTTTAAGAAAGAAGAACACCAGGCAGGGAAGGCAGAACAGTTATCTGTTGCTGACAGAATGAAAACTACTACTGAACAGATATGGTGGATTTGAAAGAGAAGAAAAAAATTGGAAAAAAAACCCCTTTGCTTCAAGAGAAACATTACTTTCAGCTCCAAATGAAACTATTTCTCCAAGAGATTTCACATAAGCACATGAAATAGAAATTAAAGAAAAGGTTGACATTTCTGCTACAGTAGAAAAGGAGAGGAAAAAAGGATGGTAAGACAGAAGAGGGTGAGGAGACAGAATTATCATCAGATCATTATAAAAAATGATGAGAATAAAGAAATGATGAGAATAAAGAAAACGATTTCACTGACAGGTGAAGAAAA